ATATATATTATAATCTAGGAACATTATATTTCCTTAATTTCCTGAAATAAATTTATTTAATAGATAACAAAAAGAACTTAACATAAAAAAATAGTGATTCTTTACAAATAAAAATATGCATATTATCTAAAATAAACTTGTTTAATAAAAAAATTAAGGAAACACATATATTACTCGAAATAAGTATACAAATAAAAAATAAAGAAATATTTTAACATTAATAGGTAAAAATTCTTAAAAATAAAGATATTGTTTTTAGTGAATTACATTAAGTGGATTCTTTATGTTTGAACTAGTAAAATTAACTTAAATATGTTCAACAAATTATAATTTTTAATGTAAGTTTTAATCATTATAATAGGATTTGAATCACACACAATTAATGTTACAATGATCAATCAATTAACATAATATTGATCAACGAAATCATATTAGAAAGTACTAACACTAAAGATAATAAAAGAAAGAAAAAAGAAAACATATATTTATTACACTAGAAAGAAAAAAAAAAAAGAGAAAGAGTTGATACAATAATACATAGAAACAAAATACATAGAAACATCCCTTAAAATTAGAAGTCATGAAAAAATAGGTAAAATGGTATATAGAAGTTTATGTAAAATATTTCTACCCTCTAATTCATATCCTAATTCAAATAATTAAAAAAAAAAGTCCCCATCAGTTATTGAATGTCAACTTTACATGTGTACAATTTTAATAACCACTAAAAGCTTACAATAACCTCATTTACTTTTTTATTTTATTTTATTTTATGTTTGAAACTTCATTTGTGAGTTGGTATAATTTTTTGGTCATCCTTTTTAAACTTCCTTCGAGTAACTCTTTTCTGATTCCTCTCTTTATGTATATCTAAAATTTGCTAATAACATATCAACATATTATCTGACGTAATCTTATTTATTTGATAACTTTATGTGCTTGAGTAAAAGGAAAATTGCTTCACGGGTTTATTTTTATTTAATTTCTAATATATATTTTACTTAGCCTTCTTTGTTCTCTAATGTTATACTGGGTTATCTGAGTAGTAAACAGTCTTTTTAACAAGTCAAACATTAATTTTGGTTTCTATTAATTTTGTTTCACTTATTAGTTGAATCATGATTTAATCGAGGGAAAAAAATTTCAACATGAAAATGGAGTAATCAGAACCAATCTATATGCATAATGGGGACACTTGCCCCCATTCTAAACATACATACCTTTTTTTTATTAAAAAAATAGTATATTTTAAAAAATAAAAATTATATTTTAATAAAATAAATATATATTTAAATTATTATATATATATAATTTAAGATTAAAGAAAATATCTATTTATTTAATATTTATTCAACCTTTTAAATTATTATATATGATGAAACATATTTCTTGATAACAAACCAAAATAATAAAAATTGTAAGATTAATTTTTAATAAAATAAAATTTGTAACATATATATTTACTATTTATATTTTTTATTTATTGTATACGTTGATTAAAAATAATAATAAAGATTGTAAAATTTATGTTTTATTTATAATTTTATTATAAAATATATTTTTAAATAAATTATCATCTAAAATATTATATTAAATATTAAAATATATTTATATCATAAATAAATTTAATTTAATTTTTATAAAATTTAACATATTTA